CCCCCCCCCCCCCCCCCCCCCCCCCCCCCACCCACCCCAAAAAAAAAAAAAAAAAAAAAACACGAGACCTGATTACTGACAGCACAAAAGGGTGTGGATTGTAGGTGCACACCTTCCATTGATGGCTGCAGCGATCTCTGGGGATAGCCCAAAGGCATGCTTATTGTCACACTATTCAGAAACTGTGTTTCACATACATAAATACAATTTCTGGCCTTTTAAACAATTTAGATGTGTTTTTTAAAAGGAACTAGTGGGATATCAAAGATTACTTTCTGAAAAGTACAATGTTTAGGGGACAAAGCACAAAATGCACAAACGGCAAGTTCTGTTTTCTGTTCCACATATATCGATTACTGATATAACTTTCATAAATGCAAAAACAGCCAGATATGTGCAAGTTTTCCTTGTAACTATTGTCAGTCTAGCACAATGGGTGCACTTCAGACTGAAATTTAAAGCCAGCACAAGATCCAACTCTACAATTGGCCTATGTTATTAAGCGAATAACGCCGTTTTATCGGTAAAATGGGTTTCTGTGAAATAATTTAAATCTGCCATGTCATCGGTAAAAAAAAGAAATAAAAATCAAAAACCTCATGCTTTCCAAAGTAATTATCTAATTTTACGCATACTAATAACCATCTTTATTTTACTTATGGACGCCATAAAAATAGTAAGCCAACTCTTTTAATCAATTAAATTTTACAGGATGATTCAACAAAGGCAGTGCCCGTAAGCACCCTTGGAGTCACGTCTGTGTCCATGGTGCTGAACACAGCGCCCCGGCGCTCTCAGCAATGATCGCAATACCAGTAATTGATGCTTAAAAAGTGATGATGAATTTTAAAATGCACGATTCTCATGGGAACACATTTCATTTTCATCACCTAAACTAAAAAACGATTATGTTAATTATTCACATTTAATCCGAAATTAAATCAATTCCATAAGTATCTTTCTGATCATGCATCACTGGTCTTTTCGGGGAAAACCCGATCGCAAATAACATAATTGATACAAAATATTTTTTTCCAAAAGAGGCAAAAACGCGTATCTTTTCCATAAACGCATAAATCTTTTTTTTTTCAGTGAAAAGAATACGAGGCACTTGCAGCTCTACGTATAGATTTTTACCCAGGGACGGTTCACCATGCCCATGAATGACCGACGCGGATTTGATGGCAATGTGGCCCCGGCGTGGGGCTGGCGACCCTACCTTCCCTGTCGCAGAGCTGAATGGCTTCCAGACTCAGGTTCTTGATCATGTCCTCGCACGGGCTCGTCGGGCTGCTCGCGCTGTGTCCCGTGCGCGGAACCTCCATTTTCCCAGCCTCGCGCCTGTCTCCGTAACGCCGAATGGGATGCTGAGCGCGCGCCGCCGGATGAGGCGTCACCTTGCACGGCTGCTCCGCTCTGTGGGGCTGTTTTATTCCTCCTCTCTCTTTTCTTACCGGGTCTCTCTCAGTGGTGCGGTCGGGGCGGCAGAGTCAGCGGCTCGTCACGGGCGCAGGGCACTCCGCCGATTTGCCGACGCGACGGGAGAGGCAGAGTGAAAACGTGCGGCAGCCGAATCGCTTTCAGCTTAAAGCAACGCAGGGCGGACGGCTCCTTCTCCTTCTTTTATTGGGCGTTTATATATTAATGAGTGCCAGTCTCTGAGGCGAGCCACAAGTGTCCATAATGCCGCGCGATAATCAACTAGCGTGGTTAATGGATTATCAGCGAATAAACACTGAATTAAACGAATTGTTATATAATGAGATTACCCGGCCTATTTCATTATCAATTTAACGCCCCGTTCATTTGGTGGTTCTTTTGATTTCGTTCGACGAATCCATCGTGAATCTCAGACGTGGGTTTTCTTTGAAATCGAGCGTGGCGGCAAAAGCAGACACTGCCCTGGGTAGTGCATATTATGGGATGGGTAATATCTCCTTTTATTGTGAATTTTATACACTATAAGTGACCTCCCGCCAACCCTTGAATGATTATTTTATTATATTTTTTGGAGCGGCGATACTATCTCGAAATACATTTTTAATTAATTTAAATGTTTCATTTTCATAGACGCACTCACACAAAGGTCTGAGATGGTTGTATAACTCCAGTCTGTTTCACCTGTTTCCTGTTGTTCTCTTCTGACTCCACCCATTTTCACATGTTAGTAGAATCCTGAAAAAAATACAATACTTTGGCTTCGTAAATACACCTGCTGTTCAGAATGCTGAGAAAAGGCCAGTGGTTTGTATCAATACATCTGGGTCAGTTACAGGTTGCTTAATTTACTCACAGACAATTAGTTCTGCCAATATGGTAATACTGGCCCTGATCTTCTGGAGAAACATCTTCTGGAAAAAGCTTGTTTTAAAAATATCGTTTATATATATATATATATATATATATATATATATATATATATATATATATCATTTTCTTTGCTCCTTCAGTCCATTCAGTAACTCATGTTCCTAAAATAACTGTTAATATCTTAAATTATATGTGAACATAAATTGCATGCTTTTGTGATGCATGTCTTTGGAAATGCATTTAACAGAAATGGTGTCATGGAATCAAAGAATTGTGAATTTTTAGAGTGCCTTACAGTCATTTACTTATTCATCAATACTACATAAGAAATTTGCAATTTATACATCCTAAAATACTTTGAGTAATAATACAAATCAAGGTATTCAAGGCATTCATGTGGAAATGCAGTTCCATTGGCAAGTCATGTCACAGAAAACATACCTAATAGGTACAACTCTGTAGTTCAGAGCCAGCTGAATAGGTTTCTCCCTATTGTTACTTCCATAACTATATATTGTACTGGAAATAGGATGTCTTCTTTAGCTGTGTTCACCAACGTTCGGGAAAATGAGGTGGGTTTCTTGCAGCCGCAGTCCATTCAGAGCTTTTGTTCAAGCCTGCAGCTGCACGTTTTATACTCTCCGAGTCATTCTCGGAATGGCACTGCCCAGAGATTTTTGTGAATGTTATTAAATCAGCTTGTTTATTGCAATGCCACGTTGATGGACAGAACCCTTATCTGTGTCACCCGTAAAGTTAATTTACAATATCAGCCGAAGCCAAATCAGTCCAGAATGTAATCCACCACGCTCCATTTGCTTTCCAGGAACACAATAACCTAAAATAATAAGTGGTTAGATAAAATGGGTGGGTGGATCAAATAAAGCAGGGGTATTCTGTTTTATTTGCTTGAAGAGATCCAGCGAATTAATAAGTCCTTAAGTGCCATTTTCACTGAATATGAGCTAGAGGTTTGGTTGTTGAAAACCGGAAGGGTAGAAAGGTGTACCATGCCTTTTTGAGACAGAAACACGCTGGGATTTGTTTTGGCGTTCTTCTGTTACACAACATTTTCTTAGCCCACAAAAGCTTCTCTTTGGGCTCAGTGCTGTTCACGGAGACTTCAGGTGACGCAAATCTGCGTTCCCGGCTGAGTCAAAGTACAGAACAATCTTTCAGAGTATTATATAAATAGAAAAACATTGAACATATGAAGCTTTGGTTTTTCTAACTACACAATCATATGATAAGTAACTCATATGTTAGCTGCTTCCTGAGTAAGAGTTTTGTTTATCTTCATGCTATGTTAAACAACATACAAGATTCTCGCGCTGGGTAATGTTCACACCTTTGGTTTTATTACGGTTTTACAACATAGACCACAGGTGTATTCAGTAGCACAGACAAAATGCTGAAATGCCTGACCATTCGCATTGCTTTGTCTATTCTATCTCCCGCTTTGGGCCATCTGGTCCTGATCTCAGAGACCCTCAATGGTACCACAGGCAGACACTGGCATGGCGACAGTATCCGGAGATGATCCAACCCCTCATCCTGATCTAATCTTCTACATTCAACTTCTTCCAAATATCCACAGAAAACAGGATTACACAACCATGTTCCTCAAACCTCAACGACTAGGATTGTGGGTGTGATTAATAGGTATTCATGCATTTTAAGAATGCAGTGTATGATTTAACAATTTATAGCCAATATATTTGAGAACAATTCTGAATCAACTTTCTTACAAGAGACTTGTATTTCATTTGGTTTTGATTTTTCACTGTTTCTATTCACCATGGGGGAAAAAACACATATAAAGTGCTTTCTGACAATTTTTTTGGAAGTATATACTGAAATATATATACTGGTTGAAAATTTTCTTACAAAATCTTGGTGACTTAAATATAGCATTCGAATATGGGAAAATACCAACAATTTCAAACAAATTTTATAACCAGTGTTTTTTTTGTTAAAAACAAGTTAATCACATAGAATGTGTTTATCTTTTGAGCCAAATTATTCTTTACAAATTGCCATTTGCCCATTTTCCTATTTTATTTATTGTCTGTCTGTATTATCTGACCTTCTTAGCTCACCATTCCTTCTACCATCCGTCTTTCAATTGCTAATCCGAATAGGGTTCCACTGTGACTGGAAGCTACTCCAGTACACAAGGCAGGTAAACACCTCTGAAAATCATGCCAGTCCATCACAGGGCACACACTATGAGAAATTCAGAAATATCGATTTGCCAAGATGCGTATTTTTGAACTGAGGCGGGAAACCCCACATACACAATAATACACAGAGTGAGGGTGAAGTCAGTCCTTTAACCCGGGAAGAGTGATGTGACAGAGCTACTCTGGCTGAGACATGCATCATTCATGTTCCCAGAGTGACCTCATGGAATCAGTATCCAAGGTTAATTTCCTTGCTGCCTGAGATGGTGGTAACCAGGTACTTATGGATTTTTAATGTCTCTTTAATATTTACTATCTAGTGTATAATAAAGAGAACATAACCTCCACTTAAACCCAATAATCTTCACAATAAAATGATGCTTGGGATATTTGCAAAATGTAGATTGATACCCAGTTGCACATTCACCGATTATGTTCTGTCAAAATCATTTTCCATTTTTGTCCAAATATATATTTCTTATGCTTTCATGTTTCCAAGTGAAAGTGGCTACAAATCATGACACACATTTCATGCATAAAAGGCCACATTACTCAGGTATGGATTCCAGTCTTTTTCTTACTATTAATACACCCACCATCTGAGATTTTTTTTTTTTTTTTGTGGTCTATACATAATTTAAACTTGCTATTCCTTAACCTTGTGGAGGCATCTGAATTGTGTATCATTTGTCTTGAAACCTGATGTTTTATTGAGCAAGAATACCAAGTTCATTCAGAGTTCATCCTTACGACTGATGATGAAAAAGGAAGGGGTTGTTTTCAGGGACAAACTTAAGACCACAAAAGATGAGTTTGTCATATTTATTTCGGGTATATATCAAGCTCAATTATTAAAACTGGCCAGATTTGACATAAATAGAATTCCATATTCGGGCAGAATTTAAATACATATAATGGAATTTGTTAATATAACTTGTGCACCGAATCTCATATTAAGGATACAGTGTCGGCATTAAACGTTGACATATGAAAAATCTACAAAATTGGTGCACCACACATCATATGGCCATTTGGCATAAAATAGTCAGTATCATATGCAGTGTCAACTGTCACTGGAGATGCTGCTGTTCAGATGAAAAGTGTGGAGTCACGGGTCACTTCTGCAATCCCCGCCTCCCGGGACGAGACCTTCAGCCAAATCCCCGAGACTAATGACGCTGCACGGCAGGCAGGCCTGTCCATGTTAGTCTGCTGCTTTCCCATCTCTCTCCTGTCTACCGCATGACTCCCCCCCCACCCCCCCCACTGCCTCCCTTTAGTGTGCACGTGATAGCATCCTAATGTGCTCCACTGGTAATTTTCTCATATCAGTACCCTCTTCCTCCACTATGGCTTTCCGGCTCCAGTTTGAACTGAAAGCGGCAGATGGCTGTAGGTTTGCTGGGGGGGGAGGGGGGGGGCAAAAAAACACCACCACAGGAAAAAAAGCAATCTGTTGCAAAACAACCGGCGTGAACAGATTTATAAGCAAGCCTCACACCGTAACTGCCAAAGAGGTGTGGGCCCTTTGTGAGGAGATACATGCAGTGCCATAATGCCATTGAGAATACTGTCAGCCTCATGCTGCACTGCTGCGACACAGCTCGGGCAGTCACGTGTGTGCGTGCATGCGTGCGTGCGTCTGTGTGTGTGTGTATGCCAGACTGCAGCCCCCACCCCCCCCATCTCATTTAAGAAGCTGATTAAATGCCCGTCCCTCATGCTAATCTGCCTGCCTGGGCAGCTGCCGGCAAGGGGCGTGGTGCAGCCCACGCCATCCTTCCCAATTCCCCGGGCCAACCGGACGCGGCTGCCATTTTCTTCCTGAGTATCCAGTCCCTTCTAGAGCCTTTTCACAGATTTCAAGAACAAAACTGCGTTTGTTTGATAGAAATCTAAGGAGGCCACACCCACTGATTACACAACCGGGGTTCTTTAGTGATTCTGAGTTGCGCTAGACAGACATAGGAGCTCGCTTTTGAATTAAAACAAGCCTTGCCTTTTAAGCGTAGCAGTTTGGGTATTCCAGGTTTAAAAAATGAATTCCCACCTATCTAGATGGTGTGTCAATAATTTATTACATGGAAACACATGTTCTTGGATCATAGATCAGATGAAACTCAGATGGCTTCAGTATATTTATATATTCTGGCATTTCTGGTAGGCTCTAGAGAGCCTTGGGAGGGGTCCATTTGATAGCATCAGCCCTGATGTACAGCAATTGTGCTTTTTTTTTTTTTTTTAACTCCTTAGGCACCAGACTGCAGCTGCAGTGGACGACATTATTCGGATCGTGACCTTCTCTGAGCTCAGTGCTGGAAAAAGTCAGGCTATCGGTTCTGTGGAATGCTTGCCAGACAGGCTGGGTTATTGTGTTGCATAACAGACGATTTCACTATATTGCAGCTTTGTGAAACGATGCCTTGATTACGGACATGCCAGATTATCTCCCTAGAAGGACAAGGTTGCGTAAGAATGTCAACCATGAAGGCGGAGGGTAGTGATGATACAAGCTAGAGTAAGACATTGTAGTGCTTTGGCTGTTAAACTCATGCTGTAAAGGAAATAAATGCGTTAATGTTTACATGCTATATGTTTCCGGTAGCCCTCAATATTCTATAAATAAGAGAACAACCCAGGATGGGGCGCCAATCCATCGCAGTATAAATAAGACCCAAGGCCCAGAATACAGCAAATGTTACTATATTTATCTAAAACTTTAGGTTTATAAGACAATGTGGGCAATCCAAAATAACCAAACAGAAATATGCCTTTCAACCAACATTTCCAATTTTCAAATAAAACAAATTATACCTTGATAGCAAACCAAAACAAATACTAAAGAGTAACTAACTAAATTAGATACATTGCAAATGGTGAACTTAATTAAAATCCAATCTATATGCAGGTGCAATATATCAATGACCTGGAGGCCAAACTCACTAGTGAGCTAAAATGGGTTCACAAATTCATCCCACCACTATTTTAATTCCTGAAGTATTAATGATTATAACTTTTTGGATTACATAAGCACGGTTCAGTTATTTTGGTTGGCTGGTTATAGGAATTAAACTTGTATCGAAGTTCACTTTTGCTTGATTTTGAAGAGGCAGGCACCAGGTGTCTGATCGATTAGGTTTGATTAGATGGTGGAATCCGATGAGTTCAGTACTCTACAACTATGACTCTTTATACTCAAGTGGTTGGTTGAAACAAAATCTTTGTCTGAATTTTTATTTTCTGGACCTGAACTATCCACCTCTACCTCCTTATTTGTCTAGTTCACTGGTTTGATTTCTCTCATTGGATTGGTTGTGTCTGAGTCTGAGTCTGAGGTGTTGCGTGGACACTGGCGGGATTTTTGAAGTGTTGTTGGTAAGGCTGAATTTGGGCTAACCTGGGCTGCAGCCCAAGGTCCTGAGTTGTAGGGGACCCATAATATTTTCCTGGTTGTTACAGTATTATATGATGCTGTACATAGGGCTCCAACAATGACTTTAGCTCAGCCCCCCGCCCCCCCTTAATTTGGGTCTGGTTATTGGGTTGTATTGCATCTGGAGTTGAATTACGTCTACTATTAACTTTTATTATTAGGGAAGAAGCTAAATCATAGTAAAGAAGTCTTGCTTAGCACCAGGAATGCCTGTTGAACTTGGTCTTCCTGTACCATTGTTTTAAACTAGGCTGAAACAATACATCTGCAGAGATATCTAGGTGAAAATGTTACATTTCCGACGGCGAAATTCTGCCATCCAAAAGAGAGGTACAGTAACTTAACTAGAAAGGCTCATCACATGACCCCTGACACTGCGATTTTGTGAGACAAAACTTGATAAAATTCTGCTTATAGAGCCCACGTGGCTCACAGCTGTTTTTACGTTTCCTTGATCAGGAATGATTCATACTTCGCCAGTCACACTGCATATTTGGCCAGCGCTCATATTAGCAGAGCAACGCAAACATAAACAAATGGGAAATAGGCGCTCTGGGCCCCTGCTGCTCAGCATGATGCCATGGTCCAACGCCGTGCTGCTGTCATAGAAGCGTTTGTGAAATTGTGCTTCATGACATGAAAAGATCTCACGTAAGACATTTAGAGCTTGGAGTTCATCTGCAAAATCAACAAGCTGCCGCTGTTACAGATGGCATGGTGCCCTTTGTTATGAGGAAAGCCATATTCTCATTAAAGGTGCAATGGGTCCTCTTTTCAGACCATTCTAGAAAATAGGTGCCTTAAAGGTGCCACAGAATGCATTGCTTTTCCAAATTGTCCATTTACAATGGTGTAATTTGGCCCTAGGATGACACTGGCTGTTTTCCCTTATTTGGCAGATTCATTAATATGTTCAGAGCTGTGCTCTGATTGGCTGATTTACTGTGAGGTACTGCGATGGCTCACACAGATCCGACATAGATCTACAGGTGAGATAAAACAGAGCATTTAGGCATCCAACCATATTTGTTTGAACTTGTATCAGAGGAGGAATTAGATGTTGAGGAGAAGCCGGTTGCTCGGAAATTGCAAATGAATGTCTCGGAGTGGTAAGTTTTGTCATGTAATGTTTCCTGGAACAATTTGCCACACATAACTAATAGTTACACTTCACCCTAGCCACGTTAGCACAATCAATACTTTGCTTTCAGCATTGTAACAAGAACGCAAATTATTTTTAATCTCACGCAACAAATGATTTTAGGATGCGAACTACTTCACGCAAGCTTTATCAAGAACTCGAAACAGCCAGTTGAGCAGCTTGTAAATGTGTTGTTAGTAGTGAATTCGGAGCTCTATTTTTATTTTTTTGTCTTACTGCAGTATCGATTAGATATTTGTGTAGCTAACGAAAAGTAAGTTACGGGAAGTACAGAAGCATCTTACCAATGTCAGTATCACAGACCTCGTAATGTTTACTACACCTGCTAAACTATAGCTAGGTACGTTTTCCCAAAAGCATAGTTGCTAGCAACGTTAGCAACTTACAGTTCACAGTTAGAACCATTCAACTGAACGGTTCCAACTATCTACGTAAGTTGCTAACGGGAGCTTTTGGCAAACGTACCCTGACTTACCTGTTAAACATCACCCATGCCTGTTGATATTTCGGTTCCTTAGGAAGGGTACGACAGTCACAGCCTCGAACGGCACACTTACGCGCACAGCCCGCCACTTTCAGTGTTGTCCTCCGCTTCGTTCTTCATAAAACCTGCAGAACCATTTAAGTCCGAATGCGCATATCCGTTGATCTTGAAAGTGGGCTGGCATACGTTACTTTGAGGGCATGGTTAAGGCTGTGACCTAACAGTCTAGGAATTTCAAAATCACCTGTTTTACGTTTTTCTTTTACATATTCAGTAACTTGTATTTGAGGGAACAACAGTGTTTGACATTCGCGGTACAGTAAAATCCCGTTATAGTGGACTCGCTTATAACGGAATATCGTCTATAATGGATGAGGTCCACTGGTCCCGGTGTTCTGACAAAACGTCCTACTTTATCAAAACATCCTACCATACTGATAATCGATAGCCCTAACCCTTACCCTAACCCCCCAAAAACCCCTAAAACCTTTATCCTAACCCCAACCCCTAAAACATAATCTCAAAATGGTGGAACTGCACATGCGCAGAAAGGCTCGATAGCACGTCTGGATAGGTAGGATGTTATGACAGGACACCGGTGATATCCAGCGCAGATACGTATTCGGGATTATTAATAGTCACGCATCTGGTCAGGTAAAGTTAGATTACTACATGTACAATATAATAATCTGTACCAAAAGTGTGTCTGCTGGGGTGTGGCATGAGTAAATGGTGTCCTGTAGTTGTGTTCTGCACAGCAACTCTGGATATAACGGACTGTTTTGCCAGATCCCTTGAAGTCCGTTATAACTGGATTTTACTGTATGTCATTTCCATGTACCAAACTCTCCTTTTTCAGCCATGTCGAGATAAAGTCAAATTTTCATTTCACCTGTCAACTTTGGTCAGGTGTCTAGCGTGAGAGTTTCAATTCGAGACAAGTCTGCACACATATTCATGTATGTATTCAGTTTTATTACCTTGTAAATAGGGTTTGCAGACTACCCCAATGCCTTTGATGTTGCTAATTTTACATTTATAATGGAATATTATAGAGTTGCCGTAAGATTTCTTGCGTGAGCGAGACTCTGAAATCGTGAGTGTCACGCCAGATGCCTGAGAGTTGGCAAAGTCTGCATTTAAGGCAGTGAATGGTATTTAATACCACATGACACGGTATGAAATATTACAAGTTGTTCAACAGGTAATTACCACAGAAAGTCCGAGCTGGTTGATGTACAGAGAAGTGTATTAGGCTACTATAGAAAGTATTCACTGATTGGTTTGTAGAGCCAATTTATATCTCAGAATAAATTAAGTGGGATATAATTAACATGTTATCATGGGAGTTTATGAAACAACTGGAAATTTAGCATTTTGTGAAGTTTCTGGTTAATAAATTGTGTTTTTTTCCAGTAGATTTTTTTTGTACTGTGATTACTTAAAATGGGCAGTAATTAAAAACGTCATGTCGAAAAATACAGTGAAATTAAGAATATACTTTAGCTGGCGCAATAAAAATCATTGGCAGTTTACATAATCTGTCCAATCACCAGGAGGCCGTATCAAAGCACACCGTATACGCGGTTTTTTTTTCTGAGATGTCAGGGTGACACCAACAACCTTCCTATCTGAAATTCTTTACTGAATGAGCATTCTATTAATAAACTTGAAGGAATACTAAATAATTTATAAGCTTAGACAGAAAGCGACCATAAATATTTAAGGCAACACGGTGGTTGCATTTGTGTTTTAGTGCCCCCTAGTGACATTTACAAACAAAACAAAGAATTGCATCATCGTCTACGCGAAAACAAAATGGAAACCGTAATAGAACTGATCAATCAAATATTTTTATGCCGCATTTTTACCAGAAAGTTGCTACAAAACACATAGCAGTGATTCACAACAGAGGGAATAAAAAAAATAAAAAAAAACAATAACAAAAAAAATGCTAATAGAAAAAGGAAAAAATATATATTGGTTGATTGTATTTAAAGAGCACAGATAACAATGAGTGTGTATACAAGCACAAACAAAAAGCACCTTTATACAAATAATATATACAAAGTATGGCCGACAGCATCACTGGAGGCAGGGGGGGGGGGTGAATAATCACGGTGACCCAGTGTCTGGAAGCAGGGGTCTGTGAGCCCAATGCAGATGAATGTATCAGTACAGCAGATCAATATGTTGTTCCTTTCTTTAGACCTTACAGCAAGCTGAGCCTCCTGGTCCATTTGATGATTTGTTAGCTCAGGGCCAGATAGCCCCAAGCGGGAAGCAGAAGGGAAAGCAGAAAAATGGACAAGTATTTTGTTGATAAATTGGTTACACAAAAGTAAAGCTAACAAGCCCAACAAGGAATAGCAACAGTGATATATGGTAGTATAATTAAAAAAAAAAACATTTGGGCCGAAGAATATGCAAGGAGTGGCATTGTCAGTAAGCAAAATGACATTGATGAGTTGGTAGGTTGTGTAGCTGCACAGGTTAGGTATTCGTGCCAGTGAATGGCAGTTAAAGGAGCCCTTGAACTTTCCTCACTTGTATATTGTTTAGGAAAAACACATCTTTTGAATAAATAAAGGCAAGTATCAGTGTGACAGAACTCACTGCTTAATACACAAATATTACTGTGATCGAAATTCATTTTAGCATTATTATCAAACAATAGAATAAATTGTTTGGTTTTTACTCAAATATGCAACAGAAAGTGTCTGAATTCTAGTCAGAAGAGAGAAAGAAGCTATTATTACTCTAGTTTAACTGCTAGTTGCTGTCTGAGCCCAAAAATGTTTAATTGTAAATAAATTGGATTATTTGTATGCAGATGCTTGAATGCAGGTTATATTGCGATTGCTTTGAACCTTGGGAACATATCCAATAGATGAATTTATCATATTATAATGTCTATGTGGACTTTCCAGAACAGGCAAGGTGGCTGCTTTAATGTCTTACTTCCAGGGGGTTTCTCACACTATACATTGTGGCATTCAGAGTGACGGCAATTCCATTAAAAATGAGTGTCCTTAGCCAGTATTTGTGGCAAGGATATGATTAATACAATGAAGCTTGGGATCAGCAATCTGAATTCTATGGGAATCTATAGTGGCACTCTCCCACAAGGAATTCATACCAAATAGGTTTGGGTTTTGGGTCTGGTGTTTGGAACAGCCATGAAAGACGGATAACTGTGTCCTCATGTTCCACAAACCATTAATTGACTGCTTGTTTCCTCTGGATTATGAACATTTTTGTCCATCTCTTGGCTCTGGCCAAAAGAAAATGTCAGAGGATGCTGTTCTGTTTAGAGGAGCGAAACAGTGCAGATTTGTCGGAAATTACTAAGTTGTTTTCAACCGACTCTTTCTCCGTGTTTCTCAAATCATTTATTCACAGCATGTTTCCTGTGAGCTGGATTACAGTCACAGTGAAAGACATCCACCTCCAACTATACGTATTACAGAAGCCAAAATGTAAAAGATTAATTAACCGAAATGTTCAGTTAATCTTTTGGTAGTTTACTACAACATGAACATGGTACACAGAATTTACAGTATTTTATTATCTATTGATCATATATAGCTCTGGGAAAAAATAAGAGACCAGTCCATATTTTGTAGAGGGCAGAAGGAACTTTTCTAGTGCCAGAGATGACCATTAACTTACCCAATAGTGTCTCATGAATTGGAGGATGACATCAAGTGACCTTCAAAAACAATGGGAAACATTAAGTGGTGTGAAATGCACTGCTAGGACAGTTCATAACAGGCTCCTAGAAGCAGGACTGAAGACCCATAAAGCAAGGAAGAAGCCCTTCATTAATGAGATGCAGGGAAGAGCCAGGCTGGAGTTTATAGAGAAATGTATATTTTACACAGATGCACACCCATAAATTGAGAAATTACTGTATTAAAATTAAAAATGTTGCTGTGGTCTCTTAATTTTTTCCCAGAGCTGTATATTAGGGTATAAAATATACACATTTTATATTTGATATCTTTAATTTGAAAATGTGATGTCATTGCAGTAATTTTACTCCTTTTACTTGTATGTTTTAGTTAGTTGGTTAGAGAATGGATAGGTAAAAGTAATACATTTTTGAACATAGTAAAGCTCTGTGGTTAAATGGTTTAAAGGTGTTAATGAGGCTAATATGGCATGAATGAGTTAAAGCTCTTTTGTTAGTGTATGGAGGTACTTTTAGGTCTGGTATGTGGTTTTATGGGAAAAGAATGTCTTGCTGTACACAATTGTATCTCACGAGTCAGAGACTCGAGTAACATACTACATAACTCTGTATCTATTTACTTCTGTCTGTATATTAAGTCAGTATTTAGAAGTGGAAAGTCTACCCTTGAGCTATGAAGTGAACACAGTATTTTTGTGCTTTTTTTTGCTGTCAGATTCTTCTTATTTAGGAAGGGGATGGTCATCCTGTATATTTCCCTTGGCTCAGTGCAGTTTTGATCAAGGTGCCTACCATCTTGGTCTATTGGGAAGGTACAATGAGGCCCAGAGTCACCAGCAGTCTCAGGTGACAAATCCACTTCCCATTGACTAAGCAATGTCAGCTCAATGCTATCTATAAACCAAAAAGGAAGATTACATCTCCCCTTCATTTAGCTTTAGATGGCTGTTCTGTCTTCTAAGGCTAATCCTTTGGTGGGTGTATCAGGTTCATATCAATCTGGCATAAAACTGAACAACATATTCTTGTGAGGAACATGTGCTCATATGACCCATGTTTTTTTTTATACATTTCCCAAATCACATGAACAGCAGCATGCTGGGAAGCCTTGAATAGGTTCTAGTGATCAAGAGGTGCTAGGATGCTGGTAAGTCCCAGCTGTGATGCCACCAGTAAAAATACACAGCTATTTTTATGGAGATGTCCACTGATCCCATGTGGACGGTTCAGAGACAGTGAGGGGGTACAATTCACACTGTTGTCCCTCATCCGTAGGGGAAATCCCATCTTAAAAAGGAGCAATGAGATGCTCTTGTGAACACCTGTAGCAAGTCCAACATGAAACATAGGTATAAATGACAAAAATGAGCCAGCTGGATGGGGTGGTTGCTCTGTAAGCCTCAATGAGGATCTCTCCAAAATAGCAGTCGTCACAGAGAAGGGTACGCTGCTTCTCTGATGAGCCCTGGCTTTCCTGTGCTTTTCTACCAATCACGGCACGCGATGATAGCCCAGCACAATGAATAAAGTTTATCACCATTGGTTTGAACAGTGTAAGCCAGCATGAGAGCACGGCACACGATTCAGTCAAGATCCGGCTATGATGTAATTGAGTTAAACAATACTTTACACCAGGGGTGGGGAACCTGTTCCATGGAGGGCCGGTGTGGGTGCAGGTTTTTGGGATGGCCTCTCCATCAGCCAATAAGAAAACAGTGGTTCTCAACTCCAATCCTGGAGACCCACTGTTACTGGCCCTCCATGGAACAGGTTCCCCACCCCTCTGAATGGATCGGGCAGTTTTCCCCTACCCTTTGGGTCCACAAATTTACTGACGAATGAAATAAGCACCACCCCAAACCCCTTGGTGACCTGCAAATGGAGCTATACTAGCAGGTTGATTTACACTGTTGCATTAACTGTCCATCCATCAATTTTCCATAACCACTTACCCAGCATAGGGTCAAGGTGGCCAAAATGACTGTAGGTATAATTATTACCCTAAAATAATAAAACTTCTGGTTGAGACAGTAACACAGCTCATTTATTCATAGGAAAGTTCAACAGTTTAAATGGTTATTGGCAAGAGGCTGGTTTCCTCTGCATGAAGACACAGGAATAAAACCGAATTCCCGCACTCAATAAATCAGCTGTTTTCGTTAGACTGAGCCGGTTGTTTCATAATGCCAAACAGATTCAACAAAAAGCAGGGAAATACATATTTCAGACTTTCTCGACGCATAGACTGTTAGCTTCCCAACAATTAGGGGCTATAACCATTCAAATCATGTCCCAGACTTCCCCGGACTCAATCTTAAGTTTCTACCAAAGCATTCGGCTCAGAGCATTGACCTTGCAGGCCATATGGTGCGTTCCAGGTCTAAGCGCCTCTAGGCCTGAAAATGTGGCAGTTCTACAAAAACTCGAAAGAGGCAGGGGCTCATGAGGGGAAAAATAAAACAGGAAAAATGTAACTTATTGCATTCTTTAAAATATTTTTTTCAGCATTCACCGCAAGCCACAACGCTGGTCAAAGAACCTCATTTTCAATCTATACAACCCAGGAAAACAGACATATAAGCTTGGAAAGATTTTGTGGAAAAAAGCTTGAATGTTTCAGCCTTTACACAGTAAACAAATCAAAAAACCAAAAGGAACTGAAAAAAATTGTTGTTCAGTATGATTTGGAGGTATGACATAAACAGCATATAATATAAAATACAAGATACGATTCTGTCAGTTATCGGTACACATACCAAAAAAAGTACTTCTTATCTGGAAAGGTATTTTTAATAATTTTTTTTGATTGGTTATTCGTTGATGGGCAAAACTATGCCTAATAATCCGTCACACAAACAAACAAAAAAATGCCTCTATTAACTACTTACTGTTACTGATTGTGAAAAGTAGGCATGCCACTGTACTTTTTTCTGTTTTTTTTTTATTTTATTTTAACTGAATGTAGATTTTCAATAAGTTTTGTATTTTCTTTTTCACCTCTAGCATTGCTAGAGGGTTGTCTTGCCAGCCTCCTTACAAGACTGCTTCTCAGTGAATTATCCATCCATCCAGCCATCCATCCAGCCATCCACTTATTTAGTACAGGGTCATGGAGAGGAGTTTAGCATCTCGGCATGGGGCACAGGGAAGGTGAGCATCCTGGATGGGATGCCAGTAAATTGCAGGGAGGACACATACACACACGCGCAAAAATGGTCCATATTTCAAAAGAAGTATCTTACTCAAAACTACTATGATTCATCAAATAAATGAAGATAACCATGAAAAACACGAGTAATATGGAAACTCTAAAATGTATATTATCCATGTTATGTAATATTCATTTAGGCTAGAATTCCAGTTAATCTCATTTAAGCCTAAAATACATTTAAGGGAGGCTGCCATTTTCTGATTTTAATCCCAAAATTCAGTAAAATATAATGATGAAATGCAACTCTCCAAAAACAGTTCCAGTGGATTCCTTTGCCGGGGCTTTGAGAATTTGAGAAACCCAAGATTAGCGGACATGTCGGCTTTGGACTTACATTTCAAGTGATTATTCTGAATTACCCAAGTGTTTTTATTTTACCAACACGCAATGTCCCGATGCTTCTACAGAATGATAGTCAAACTGATAAAATTTCACAAGCGCAAAGAAAAACATTTTATAACCTTCATATTAGTTCCTCAGCATCCACAGAAAGTTATTTTAACTCAAGTGACTGAATTGCTCAGCAGTTTCTGTAAGGAAAAATGTACAAACAATATATTTTGAGATAAATCTATTATACTACCCTTATGAAAATTCACTATGGTTTCCTATGGTTTTTATGCAGTAACCATAGTTTTACTATGGTACCTCATGGTACTTTGGTACTAACCATAGTACTACCATGGTTTGGAAAGACCATGGTTTATGACCAAGATTATACTAGGGTTTAACTGTAGCGAAACCATGATAAAACCATAGTCATGGTTTCCATAGTTACCCAAAAAACCATGAAAAATGACAAACCATTGTAAACCATGGTTATTTAATCATAGTAAAACCATGGTTAATTTTTGTAAGGATAGATAGACGTCCTTGTGTGTAATCATAGCCTTGGCAGAAATAAATGATTTCCTGTGACATTTATATTTTACACTGTAAAAAAAAAAAAACTCTTACGTGATCAATTAACTTCAGTATTTTCAATTTCAGTCTTTACAGAAAGCACTCAAGATCCACCCTGTCCTCTGCTCCCTGACCCAGTGCTGCAAAACCATCTTCAGATGATTCCAACAGGCTGTTCAAACTCACAGTGGCAAGCAGGTGGAACAACGATTACGGGGTCAGGTTTGTAATGCAAAACTTTATTGTTAAGGATTGACTTCGTCTCACTTTCTGAAGATGTATGATTGAGTGGTGTGTAAAATTAGCTACGTCTAAAATAATACACGGTTGGGGGGGAAAGCTGATTATTTTTTCTCTTTTGATTGTTAGGTTCACATACATATTTAAGGAAAAATACCACTTCCTGTGTAATATAGGCCGTAATAAACAGTATGAAAAAGCACAGCACATTTCCAGTAATGAGGCTACCACAGAGAACCAATCCAGTGCATTCTGGGAAGTCAACAGACATGTAAGGAATAGACACAGCAGGACAAGGGAGAGCGGGGTCTAGTGTTTACATATATTTATTATTTTGTAACAAGGCCTCCGATTGGTATAGAATGCATTAAACAGATTTTTGCTTATTACACAAAATGTCGTCTTCATTTTAAAAGCACAGACACCACAAAATACAGCTTTTTTTCTGTGTTACATATACAGATATCTTTTAAAAAATCATCCATAAGGCACTGGCCAGCTAATGCTTGCTTTGCTACTGATTCCGACACTTTATTGTGCATAATCAATTTTCAAAGGCAATAATGAGAAGTAACGTTGCCATATTCCATTTAGTCAACATAGGAATTTGTCATTTCCAGTGTTTCCTTTTCTACAGCCCTGTACTGTACCTCAACCTGTCCCTTTGTGAACAGGAAGTCCTTTGTCGGTTGCATCTAACCTGCTGACAATACTGCTAGGCGTGACAAAAGGCCATGTCTAAAAAAAGACTTAAAAGTTTTTTCTTTTCCTCTCTTTCTTCTTCCTGGGAATCATGAAGCGTACGAAAGAAATCACAGCTCCCCCGTTCATAAACGGTGGAACGTGGACAATTTTCGTACTCGATAGACCATTTTAAAGGTCGAACAAAAGCTGCGGAAATGCCGCAGGAGAAAAGTATTAATGAATTTTGGAGTCGATGTTCCCAAGACATGTAAATGTATCTTATTGTAGACTTTTACATTAAATTGCGTGGTACGGTTGCATTTATTTTTTTGCATAGTCCATTGATGTGTCCTGGGCCCCACACACCGTGGGGAGGATCTGTTGCAACTGGTTTTATTTATGACGCTGTCCGATGCCCTTCATCACAAACAACAAATATAAAACGGGAGTACCAGCAAAGACCACTTATGAGAGAAAAATCGGACCATTTACGGCAGACTATCTGTCCTTTCAAACTGAATAACAAAACTAGAAAAAAAAAATAATGCTAATATGTCATTCTTCCTTTGTTGTGCAATTATTACAAAACTGTACGTACCTCTTACACAAAAAGGACAAATTCAACATTTTAATAATATACACATGGTTATACTACATGTACAGGAATATTGCATATGCTAGTAGCAAGTATCAGTTCTTGAATAGTTTACATAAAACTAAAAATGTAACCCCTTTTTGACTGCAACAAAGTTTACTTTTCCTCTGATGTCTGCCTCTGAGAAAGCTACAATTATCAAAAATACACACTCCGTGGCCTTCAACTGGAAAATAGCCCGTTAGTATTTTTCACAGTTTAATATCAACATCCTTCGTAAATGTATCAGTTGTAAATTTGTTTAGTTTCTTTCCCCGGGGAGAAGCACATGGTGCTTTTTCAGTCGATCTGCATGCGTCGCGTTTAACCGGCGCACTGAGCTTGTGGCTCTCTGGGGGGCACTGTTAAACGCAGTTTTCACACTCAGCTGGAAGACTGTGTCATGGGAAAAAAAAGTAACACAAAAAAAACCCAACAACGAGGCGAAGAGGTTTGCACAACACAAGGCAACGAAAACCCTTCAGGAGAAAAACTTTTGGCCCTATTTTATTTTCCCCCAGGAAACAGAATTCCAGTCCATCTACGTAAACCACAAAAGAAGTGTGTGTGTGTGTGTGTGTGTGTGTGTGTGAGTCAGAGGGCTGCAGTAATGCTGGTCAGACCCCAGAAACAGGGGATGAGTCAGGGTGTGGGTCACACCCCCCCCCCCCTTCAAAATCCAGCACTTTACTGGATTTTAAGAAATCTGCCTGCTGCAATTATTAAAGGACACAAGTGGAACCAAAAGAATGAAAACATTAATAAAAATGAACGGAGGTTACACTGAGGTTAAAAAAATAGGGAGAAAATAAGATTAGGCTTTTAAAATTATACATGGAGAGCATACGATGCAGCACACGTGACGTAAGCGAAGGACCAAACATCGGGGCAGTTCCACGAACCACGGGAAACAATTCGCTCATATAATCATGTCCCTGCTCACCTGGTCGTGATGCTGCTTCACCCCACTCATCATCATCATCATCTTCATCTTCACCTTTTAACCACACAATGTGCTTACATTTTGGCTTGGTACCCAAGTAAGTGCTGAATGTATACATGTACATAGGTATGCAGATTACAAAAATATGCATCCACAGGCAAAAGAATATAGCATTCTTAAAGTGCACAGGAATGATACGACAACAAACTAAGATTACACATAAATAGTATCAAAAAGATTTTTCACTAAGCAATCTGCCTATTCCTTCAAAGATACGACAGTGCATGGATTCTTTTATTCCTTCACAACAGCTGAAGCTTCTGTAGACGAGGGACAGTCTCAGACAGGGTACCATGGTCTTTTTTCATGAATGACAGGCTTAGGCGCTGCCACTTTTCTGTTTGGCACTTTTGGCTTTGGTCCACGTGTTCCTGACTCTGAGCGAGTGGTTTCTGATACAGGCAGGGGTTGTCCTCGGGGGGCCTCAGGAGGAGAAGGACCTCTGCATCCTTCCTTCCACCCTCCCTACACCCCGTTCCCCGCCCGGGGACCTACCACCGGCCGCTCACGCTGGCAATGTCCGAGTGGTACTGGCGAGGCAGACGCCCGCTGGCTCCGCCCTCCAGGAAGGAGGAACGGATGTTTGGCGGCTCGAAAAGTTTTCTTCTGTTCTTATTCAGTTCTAAAAAATAAAAAATAAGACAGCAATTTTTTAATAATCTTATCTCCCTCATAGCTTTACCATGAATTCTTAAACAGCAAGATATCGGATGTTTATCAATATGCATACTAGACCATTCTTGTATTCTCGCCTACTTGTTTGTCGTCATCTTCCATTGCCAGTACTCAAGAACAGAAGTACAGAGGACAGTAAAAAAAAATAAAAAATCCCGAATGTCTTTCTTGCGCAGGCCAAAATATCAAGGCTGCACCGGTTGCATCTTCGCCAGCGAGAACAATCCCATGATTCATTTCATCCCAAGTTCGTTCTTGGGATGCAAGTTAGCAAGAACGCTCTTGCCAAGAACATATGTTCCTTGTGTTCTTGCTATTGATAAACTCCCATATAGTCTTGTCTCGGTCTTCTATAACCCCAGTTCTAAGTTTGTTGACATCACTGAGCACCTTTGCTTGACAACTGACAGACGTTCCAAAGGAATTTCTCGGAAGCTACTGATGAGCCATCCATCAGTGAGCATAAGTGACTGTGGGCAAGTGGAACAAAATGAACTGGAAACTCAATGCGCAGCCCGCTAAAAACCATGAGAAAATGTATTATAATCCCTCCAGTATTAATCACAGGATGTCTATATCTTTCTTCTGGCAGGTCTTAAGCATGAGCTTCAAGCCTTGCCAGAATAAATACGATATGAGATTCTATTAGACTTTTAAAGGGGTTTGCATTTGAGAAGGGCAGTCCTGTGTTTATTAAAGTCTACTTTTTGGAAAAAGTACAGAAAGCAGATTTGAATTAAGCGGGGTGGACATTTCTGTGTGTTTTTATGAAGACGGTGGGGTGGGGGATGGTATTCCGATTTTGGAGGTCCAGATTCCATCTGTAGAGATTACAGGAGATAAGTGTGCTACAGGAATAAACATGTGGTCTCATCCGTTTCCGGCATGCAGAAAACTGCCCTTAAACCCCATGGTGTCTGCAGAGTGCAGTGCATGCGGAACATTTGTTCGCCGAAAATGCAAACAGAGACCAGTAGCACACTTAAAACAACACACACACACACACACACACACACACAAAAATGAGACCCGAGTTAACCTGCAAGCGTAGTTTCTGAATTCCCAAAGATGCTGGTTAGAGAGCTATGTAGATTTGCGTAAATGATTCTGGAGGGAGCACAGCGGACAGAAGCTTTTAAAAGGTGCTTGTGAACTCGACGTCTATTCGGTCACGCGATGGAGCTATGGCAAACAGCTCTGTGCGGTGAAAAACCATGGAAACTGCAGGAGCTTACATTGCTGGATGAGGATCAGGAAGCACAACCCACGACAAGGACAGTCAGGCACCCTATTCCACCATAGGATGATGACAGCTTAAGCTGTTTTCATACTGGCTCACTTCTTGTCTGGCAGTAGCAGAGTATCATGTGACCCAGATCAGCCAACATCAAAGACAGCAGGGTAGGCTAAGTGACTGGGATAGCTGGGAGGGAGTCACCTGAGATGGCCAAGAGCATCTTCCTCCGGGCTCCGAATGTAGTAATGCCAAGCTCCTTCAGGTCCTGGTCCGTCAAGGTGAGGAACGTCTGCAGGTCAATCTGCACCAAAAATGAATTTCCTTTGATAAAAGAGCATCAATTGAAAAGAACACCGTGGTGTGCAAAAGATGGAGGACGTTGCTTGCTATATCAGGGCTCTTCAAATCTGGTCATCAATTCCAAATCCAGGCCTTGTTTTCAGCTCTCCCAGGAAGTTAAATAATTACTAATTCTGATTGGCCACAGTGGCTTCACACCTGGCTCATGGATAAAAGTAGTCTGGAAAATCAACAGTGCTCAGCCCTGAGGACCCTGATTTGAATAGCCCTGAAATATGGCATATATATCATGGTATGCAAGACAGGTTTAAATTAGGATCAGACGTTAAGAGGTTAACTCATCTCTAGAGTTCATACTGTGGAAATATCTTCAGTAAACATAACTGAGACATATGGTGACCGAAAGTGTTGCCTTTCTCACAGTTCATTATTTTAAAGCATAAATATACTTTTTAATAAATGATACCATCAGGTAGCACCATTTGTTGGGATAACAGATGAGAATCTTGCTGATGTGAACGACATTATAAAGGTTCCATATGGCAGGGAGACTCTGTGCTCCTTATACAGTATGATTCCATCCACCCTGGTGACAATATACCTCCTGCTGCTGGAAAACGTCAGTGTACTTCCCCAATCCCAGCTTGCTGAACAGTTCGGGGAGGTCCGAGCCTTTGAAGGAGATGTTGAGGTTGCACCCGTTGCTGCCCGTCATCGATGATATACAGTCCATGTAGTTACTGCTGCTTAGATAGTGCTCCACTGTAAGGCAAAATAGTCGAGTACAGAGTTGGATTTACGACTGTGGTATTTCAGACCTCCTCCACCCGCACGGACTGAGGTATCGGCTCGCCAGACTTTCATCCTCCTCCAGCTCGGTCTGCTGACTGCAGCAGTCTCAGCACCGCCTGCAGTTCCACCCAGAGAGAGCTAACTTCACATGCAGAGTTTTTATTAAGAGACCACTGCAGGATCATTTCTGCATTATAATACTGGGTCTCGAAAAGGTCGATCAGCCAAAACCTACTGACGTTGTTTCTTTTATGGCTCAGAGGTGAATTAATAAAAAAAATGTTTCCAGTTAAAAGCAAGCAGACATAATGAGGCCCCCTGGGTCCACGAAAAACCTGGCAATTCAGTTCAGAAATGACGGTACCAGTGGGTGGGAGGGGCCTGTCTCAGCTGATGCCGATAAGCAGACAGGCAGACAGTGATGGGCAGGCTGGCAGACAGACGGGCAGGCGGGCAAAGGAGATATAAGAGAGAGAGAGATAAGACAGGGAGGCAGTCAAGGAGACGGGCAAGGAGACGCTTAGGGAGGTAGACAGAGGACACGCCGGGAGTGACATCAGCAGCCCGACACCCAGACAGATATGATGAAAGCAGGGCAACATTTACACAGACGGCAAGCAGAGAAACTGGCAGGCAACAAGGGGGGGAGGGAGGCGGGAGAGGAGGAACCTGATTTATTTTGCTTCCTCTTGGGACTGATGGCTGGAGAGAACTCTGGAGGACCGGGAAGACCTCCGCCGTTCCTCTCCCTCCAGTTGTCCGAGTCGCTGCCGCTGCAGATGCCCTCGCGGCTGTTGGACCGGGACAGGGACAGAGGGGAACCCTAGAATAATGAAGAACACCTTGACAAAGTGGTCTGGGGGCAGCCCGCGTATAACAGAGGCTCGGTGTAAAATACGCAGAACGTTGGTCAGTGTGCAAATTAACATTTAAGGACCTGCTGAAGGCTCTCATTCTGCTGTCATTTGATTACACTTCACACATCATACAATGTTGTACCTTTAAACGAAATGTATTCCCTTTAATTGGTTGCATAAATAAAATAAACACATATCAGGGGTAAAGTGCAAAATGTCACGCTACGCAAAATGCACCAGATAAACACAAGTAACAGCCAAAGCTGGCCACGCTTGGCGGTTAACCTCGTAGGTGGTAGACATGGTCGGCTTGTAGGCCACGTGGTTGGCTCGCCGGAGCTCTTTGATGGTCTCGGCCGGCATGGATTTCGAGAAGCCAAGTCCGCTCCACGTGTTGGTGGGCGTCCGGACCTCGGTCACCACCGGCTTCTTTAGCATGGCTGAAAAGAACGCAACCATCCAATCAGAGTAAGCCAGACATAAAATCGCAGATGCATAGTAACACGATCCGAGCCCTTGGCAAGTACAGCCTGCCAATAGTGCCTAGTAAGCAAGTCTGTCCCGGCATCTCATGCTGCACCTTTGATCTGGGTTGTCTAATAATAGGTTTTCATCAGCAAGCTCATTGGCTGAGTCAGGCAGTGAGAAAGTTAGAAGCCACAACAAGTAAGTAGTTAGGAAATCTTTTATTATAGGCTTGATGTTTACTGTAAATCAGAAATAGAGAGATAATGACATACCAAAGCAAGCCAAGCAAGATTTTCTCCTTTCGGACAGTAGTATTGCCCCATTCGTAGCCAACATAGTAAACTAAACACACTGGATATCATCATTTGTTACCATTCCTGTTAGCCGTTTAAATATTTTAATAAAGTGGCAGAAAAATTCCTCTTAGAATGTTGACATGAACTGAATTCGAAGTGCAGGGTGAATTGTGATATTGCGAAATCTCCTCCTACCTTTTGTTGCCAACAGCTTTTTCTGTTCATAATCAAATGCCTGGAAAAAAAAAGAAAGCGAGATGTTTCCGCAATACAAAGGGCCTGGTCTTTGAGATCAGCAACAGCTTCTTGCTTCCAGCACCGAGCGATTCAGACTAAACCTTATCTCTGTCACGTCCAATTCTGTCAGTTTTTTTTTTTTTATTCATCCCTTGGTGACGTTTTGGTCTGTAAAAGCTCAAAGCGTGAACAGCGCGTGTTGCTCAAAACGGCTGGGAATGAAGTCATGAGAAAAACAGCTGAAATATGTAAGAGTGGCCCTCTGGAGGAGGCCATTCGGAGACAGGATGTTCCTCGCACACAATCCTGCATTTCTGTGTTCGTTGGTCATCGTTCATTGACACTCACTTCATTCCAACAAATGATTGGTCACCACAGACCAAAAAAAAACCTTACAAACAGATTATAAACCAATAACAACAAATTCCTAAATCTTTAGTTTCTGGGGGGGAGAAAATAAAAAAACAACGAATAAAATGATTTGTTGGTAACATCCCTCATGTCCATTGTTCATGTTACAGTTATGGAGGGACATATTCTGTCGGCATTAACATAAAAAAAAAAATCAGATGCAGAAGCTCCTTAGCAGCCTTTCACAGCACACGATGGATTGATGTATTTCAGATCAGACCACCTATAACCTAAAGTCAGGCTTTCTCGTCATATGTTACACTAGTGGGAACCAAGACTCACTGCAGTCCAACGAAGGACTTCCATTAATTTTCTAACGCTCCCGTGGATTAAGTGAGTTTCTTCTGCATACATGAGTTTCTTCAATGGAGACCTGGTTTACGGGAAGTACCTGCATGTTAGCGAAGGAGGTTTGCGGTGCCAAGCGAATCCTCTCGGAGTTCTGCTGGGCCGCCCTCTCGGCCGCCCGCTCGCTGCCGGGGGCCCGTTTGTCCGCCACGGGGCCCTCGGAGGCACTCGAGTCTGAATCTGAGAGCAGGCAATCTGAGCTGGTGGAAGAAAGAGACGTTAGCGCTTTGAGTGGGAACCCATGCTACACTGAATGTTAGCGGCCTGCTTTATGTAGCCTTACGGCCACATGCCGTCTTATATGCCATCCAGGAACAAACTGTAACCCCTTAAAATATCTTTTTCAGAGCTTCTTCAACCAAAACAGCAAAGCTAAGAGTCCTTCATGCTAATGCGCCTCATGTTTGTTTCCATCCCAGGAAAGCTACAATGTAGCAGTACGCCGTCTGCCTCTTTGCTGGAAAATATAAAGAAGTGAGTAGTGAACTTTCCAGACCTCTTACTGGAAACTGCCACAAAAGCCCATACTGGAACCAGCGAGGTAAGGAAAAGCAGTGTCAGTGCTGAGCTCATGTCCAACCTGGAACACGCTGGCCTGACAGCACCACACCCAGGTTCTCAGAGATCCTTCTAACGTTCCCTCAGATCTGACAGCAAGTCTCTGAACTGGGTAAACAAATCACACCCATAAAGGCCCTAACTCACAGTCCTGATGCCTTCTGACACTGTCGGCAACATTCCATACATTTGCTGTATGTGTACAAATTCAAATAATATTATTGTACCAAGAGATCAACAAAAAGTGAAACAGATAAGTAGAACTACCTCCACAAGAAGAGAGAGGATGGACATTATGCCTCTGGTTTTTATTATCTGATGAACGGGCAGCATAATGTGGAAATGGCTGCAAGGCTGACTGATGTTAATAAACGCCTGTTTGTTCAGCCGGGTGTTTACCGGCACGGTTCATGCCAAACGGACTGCTCAGTGGCAGGAAGGGCAGTATAGAGTATTGTGATGAGAGGCACAGATCAGTAATCAGCTTCAGCTGGGATTGCTGAGCAGGCAGATGCATCATGGGAAAATACACTGCTGTGGGGGGGGGGGAAGAGCTACAGATGCAAGGCAGGGAATAACCCAGGATGGGCGCCAACCCGTCGCAGTGTACGCTCGCACATGCACACCTACGGGCAGTTAGGTAACTCCAGTTAATCTCTACATGTTTTTGGAGGGGAATCCGGAGTACCCGGAGGAATTCTCATCACGACATGCGGGTACTTACTGCAAATGTTTAAGTAAGACAAGATTCTGACTGCAATTTAACAAAACTATGTTTTCATGGATATTTGCATATTAATTAGCTATTAAATATGCTGTTCATTTAATAACTGTTACCAGCCTAATGATGATTCAGACGGATTTATACAGGATAAACACTGTCGGTTAAACACTGAGAACCTGTTGAGGCAGCTAGCAGCTCATACATTTTTAATGGGCCTTTTGCTTGTCATATTTGCTCGTCCGATTGGTGTAATTAAGAAATGCATGGTTTGAACAAAGGTCAGCTAGTTTTGGCAGAAGCAGCATCGGAAAACCCTGGGATATTGGTCTTAATTATAATAATGTGACCTGATTGGAACACACTGCTCTAGACAAAAGCATCTGCTAAATAAAACTAGCGTAAACATAAACATCTAGCTCATTGGTGGTGGGCCTGACGTGGCCTTGGGGAGACGTACTGAAGGTGGGAGTTCTTGGTGCCTTGCAGGAGCTCCACGGCTTGCCGCTTGCCGGCAGACGCCGTCTTGCAGGACGACAGCATTTGCTTGAGATCACTGCTGTTGGCAGAGTGGGAGGGGCTCCTCGGCATGCCCACCTCCACGAACGCGTCATTGGACCCTGGAACGCAAAGCGGGCATGGCCGTTTCAGCTGGTTTCTGGCCGTGTAGATAATTCTAACAGCAGACCACGGGAAGTCAGAAGAGCCGGGCAGGGCAGGACTCTCGCCTCAGCGGGAAAGAATTTAGCGTAAGCCGTCTTGGCTAGCCAGCCTGTTCTCCGGGTATCACGTTTGATTAACTCCTCGCCTGAACATCTGACGATCTCACACTGGTGGAGCCAAGTCAAACAAGCAGCACACGGCGGGATGGAATGACGGAGCTGAGCCGTGTCTGACTGATCATCTCACTCAACCGGCAAAGCATTAAACAACAGCCACACCCAACCCAAGAGAGATCATTTATAAACATTAGGACATTCAGACAGACCTTTGGAGACAATCTTTTATGGGCCTGTACCTTCATCTGGGCTGGACTTGCTTGAGAGAGACTCGCCGGGACAATGGCCACCAGTGTCCTTTACGGAATCTCCATGCTTGGCGCTCAGCACCTTCTCGGCCAGCGACGAGGCCGACATGCGGCTGTAGACCGAGCTGGGGAGCTGCACGCACATGCGGGCGGGTGGGAGGGAGGGAGACCGACAGAGACGGGTTAATGCAGCAACGAGCCGTTGGATGCATCGCAAAACACAGCCAGGATTCTGGGCTCCCCCCCCCCCTCTTGTTTTTCCAAGCTCTTGAGACAAAGACGAGAGTCAGATGATCGTGACCTCAAGCAAAATAACAGCACGCAAAAAAGCGGGCTTTTCTCCCCCCAAATCCTTCAAGAGAAAATTCACGCCTAAAACACTCCCAGGCTGGTGAGCTGATTCCTTTTGTGGCCACTCTGAGCATTGCAAAGTTTATATAACCAAGACTAAACCATCGTAACAGGTATGCCGAGGTGGGGGGGGGGGGGGGGGGGTGGGAGTGGGGGCTCCCTGGAGACTCGAGGACTGAGAGTCATTAAAGGAGTAGCAGCACAACACAGCATTACGATGAAAGGTGTAATGAGGAACAGGCAGTGATCAGCCTAACCTGACTCACATTGACTTTATTACTTTACCTTGTTATTCATGTTTAAGGGAAAGTTTGGCGGCACTACAAGATGCTGGGAGCAGCTATTGCAGGACATGGCTAATCCATGTCCTGTTTATTGTCATATCCACTATGTTATACGCGTGTACTTATAGAGACATTGTGTGTTACTCCAGCTATGATCTCACTTAGGTCCACTGTGATCAGACTTCGGCTCAATGTGAGGCAGCTTAGCTCCTCTGTGATCAAGCTTTGGCCCAGTCTGAACTGGATTAACCCCGTAATGACCTGGTTTATCAACAATATTATCAGATTTAGCCGCACTACCATCAGACTTAGGCCTGCTGCACGACGGTTTAACCAGACTAGTGGACTTAGACCCACTGTGAGATTGATTAGACTTGCTATGGTTGGACTTAGACCCACTGTGGTTGGACTTATGTCCACTGGAACCTGGTTTAAACCTGCTATGGTTGATGTATGCTGACTGAGATGGTTTAGACTCACTGTGGTTGGACTTATGTCCACTGGAACCTGGTTTAGCATTTACAGCCACTAAGACCTGGTTTAACCCCACTGTGAGCTGACTTTAGCCCAGCTGTAGGCTTGAGGGCTTTTCCTTTTCTGTGAGTAGCTGGTGACTGCCAGTTTTCCTCTTTTCGAAAAAAAAAAACCAACATTGGCCTGAAATCAGGGCACTTATGTTAATAACGCTTGGATGCAGTACAATAGAGAAACCAATAAGAGCAGCAGCAATACATCAGCCTTGCAGCACGTCGAAAGAGACGCACGGGCACCTTCACGTGACCGTTGAGGGAGGAGGCCGTCTTGCCGCAGTCCGTGACCCCGTTGACCTTCGCATCTATGGGGGCCAGCCCCGGGGGTGGAGACGGGGTGCTGTGGGCGTAGCCCTGAACCCCGGACAGGAGGATGCTTGTGAGGGTGGCTTGCGTTGCTGGGTGAATCATCAGCGGCGACGAGAATCCTGAGACAAACACAGGACCTGTCAGAGTATGTCTAGAGAACCGAACGAGCTCCAAAAATGTGCCCCGAGCATGTGACCTGCGCCGTGCGTCTTTACTGGCCGTTTGACTCTCGCTTCCTGTTCCTGTGTCACTCTCGACTACGCTCTCGTTACTGCGCACACGCATTTCCACGAGACCCCAGACCCCGTGACGGCGTTCTCACCCGGAGCGCTAGACGGGCTGGTGAGTGAGCTGGGCCACAAAACCGGGCTGGCGGTGGGGCCTCCGATGCTGGGGGGCTGCAAGGGGCTCACCGAGCTGTTCAGGGCGTTCAGCAGCGTGTTGGGGGCGGAGCTGCCGCTCAGGGAGGCGGCCGCAGGGCCTAGAAGACCTTAACACACATGCCGATGTCGTCTTAACCCCCGAAAACATTACGTACCACTACCAGCTCCAAGCTTTTCACTTCATATATTCACACAGATACAAAAAAATAAAAAATTCAATTCTGGATTGCGGGCAGCAAATGCACATTTAAATCTAAAAATATGGCCCGGATTGCTTTGGCGCAGCAGGCTGCAATCTGGAAGAGGCCACCGCAGTTACTGGGGGCTAGCACACGTATCGCCCAGGGGGCAGCGGGTTCACGGGGATCAGAGCCACGTGCTTTAGCCGGGCTTAAGCTGTCGCATCTCAAACACAGTGCTTGTTAAACACTGACGGAGACGCGAGGCTGGAGTCTACAGCCAGTCGCCTGGCAGAGCAGCTGAGCCGCAGGGTCACGGTCATCCTTCTCACCCAGACCGCTGAGCCCCAGACCCGCTGAGGCCAGAATGTCGAGGCCCACAGGGCAGATGATTGCAGGGGGACTCCCGGCCCCGCAGCCGCCACCTCCGCCAGGGAGAGCAGACACGCCGTTGTTCTCCAGACCCAGCAGGAACTTCCTGGCCTCGTACATACTCAGGGCATTCCTCTCCACGCTCTTCACGATCACAGACTGGGTCACCATGTGAAAGACACAGAAACGGCAGGTTAGTCATCCTACCAGCTCTACAGGGACTGTATACGATTTTGCAGGATAGGACTCAGTGCCCGTGATTGGAAGGTCATGGTCCGGAGACGACACAGTGATGTCACCATTAGGTCCTCGAGCAAGGCTCTTAGTCTCGATTGCTCCAGGGAGCTGGATACTGGTTAGCCCTGCTGTCTGAGTGCTCTCACCTGTATACGTGTCTGTGTTTCTCATGGGGAGCAAGAGGGACTATGTGAAAAGTACCCAATTTCCCCATAAGGATGAATAAGATATAAATATGCTTTCAACTGCTGAGTGACTCAGGTTTTGTTTCAAAGTGGACCCATTATTGAGTATTATTTTTTACTGGATACTGTTTGAGTACTTAAGTGCTTTTTGTAACTTTTTCCTCTGCCTACCTCGACTTACACCAGGGGTGCCCATCTCCAGTCCTGGGGGGCCAGAGGCCTGCACATTTTCTGGTTTCCCCTCATTTAACACACCTGATTCAACTCCTCACTAACTACCACACAGCTCTTGAGCTGAATCAGTTATGGTGGAAGAGGGGAAGAGCTAAGCTACACAGGGCTCCGGCCCCCCAGGACTGGAGTTGGGCACACCTGACTTAGACCTTTAGAACAGGGTTCCCCAATTTCAGTCCTGGAGGGCCAGTCTGTGACACAGTTTGCAGATTTCCCAGCTCACACACCTACTAAATCTGGCAATTGGCTGATGAGCTGAATAAGGTGCATCTGAGCAGGGAAATCTACAAACTGTGAAGCAGACTGGCCCTCCAGGACCGGAACTGAGAAACCCTGCGTTACAACAATCAGTATTTCGGAAACTACACTAAAAGGGCCATTTGCAAGGGCAGCATTGCGGGAGGCTCCCTAAGGGAGACCACAGGAGAACAGCGCCCCCCTCTGACCAAGCCCCAATGTAGTAACAGAGCCGGTGCTCTCGGGCATCGCACAGCTGCGTGGGACAGTCTTTCGGGATCAAGGTAGGGAAAGGTACTGACTGCCAAACAAAGCACAGATGCACACCCCCGACTCAACACCGCTAACCGCTATAAATACCTGCAGGGCATCTGTGAGGAACAGAAGCGTAATGAAATGCAAATGTTTGACCTTAAAAGGTGATCTTCATCATCTGAATCGCAAAGGGATCATGAATCCAGTTCAGATAAGAGTAAAGGAGATAATCAACATTTGCAACATGGATTCTTTTCACGTAAAAATGTACGAAATAGATAAGGTATGGTATGCCTTCTAGCTTATCTCTAGATGATTCTCTAAATGACTAAATTATGTCAATAAAGTATGTAAAATATTTTTATTATGCTCCTCAGTTTCCTGGATGTCCTTGCACAAATAGGGCAGTTTTCATTGCCGCTCTCATGTTCAGTGAGGTTAAGTATCTCGTATAACGTCATATAACGTCATAACGTCTAACTGGCAACTGCCGCGTCAGGCTCGCGGGATTAGTGCAAAAGCAAGAAACCCGCCAAGCGGACAGAACTTCCAGTTTCTTGCGCTTGGTTAAAAGAGCGTGACTGTGGCTTTGGGTGGGGGGTGGGGGGGGCGGCGATGTTACCTTGCTGGGCTGTTTGGGCTTGGGCTTGATGCTGATGAAAACATCAAGCTGCTCCATCAAGGACGTGATGCACTGGGGCTCCACCTCCACGTCCTCCTTGATGTCGAACATCAGCACCAGTGGCAGGCAGCCCTGGGGGGGGGGGGGAGGGTGCAGACATGCGCATGAAGCTCACGGCAGGCTTCAAACTCGTGCCCTAGCTTCCCTGGCGACCCCCCTGCCCCCCGCGCTCCGCTACACAGCCAGCCCTGAGCTGTGCTGTGATAATCCATCATCTTCTGCGGAACGTGCCAGAATACAGTTAATCACGTTCGGGTGGACCCACCCCCCACTTCTCCTTGGCACCGACGGTACGCCTGTTTTTTCTCCGGCTTCGGAATATGTCACCGCGGCAACGCCACTCGTGGGCAACAGCCTCGGCCATCGCCACGACCGTTTCAAGACACGCCAGCCTCCGGTCCACCAACATATCACTCTCAAGCCAAGATATAAGCAGAATGACCCGAGTCTTGCTTATTCACATCAGAATACAAATCTGCCACAGGATTCCGCTTGCGGTGGCGGGATGAAAGCTGTGCAGCGATGTAACGATCACTGCCGGCCCCTGCGATCGCAGAGCGATCGCTTTCTGGGTGAGGAATAAATAACTGTGGGGAAGTAAGCAATCTCCACAACGTAATTACTTTGTTTTCATACAGCACAGAGAATGTTCTCAACTTGTGTGTTCCAGACGAAGATCCTGTGTTTATACAGTCTCTTTTTTTATGTTTTTCTTTTTTTTTTCCAATTTCTGAAAGTTTCCAGTATTTTTGGCTTGGAGCATGTCTGTTTGGAGGGGGACCACGCAAGACAAAAGAGCCAGGAGAGGATGGCCGGGCCCGGTTACAGCTTCGGGGGCGGAATGAGAAAGCGTTTACCATGAGGTACTGGCGCGCCAGGCAGACCGAGTCTATGGTGCCCTGGAGGTAGACGGTGGACCTCTTCTGGGGGCTGTTGGGGTCGGGGAAGTGGATCTGGGCCCCCGTCTTCTGCATGATGTGCTTGACGTTGCTGCCGTTGCGGCCCATCATGAAGAGGTGGTGCTGCGGGGCGATGTCCAGCTGCGTGCTCACCGAGACTGCACTGGGGCTACCAGCCAGGTGCTCCAGCAGCAAAGCCGTGCCCCTCTGCAAGCGAGAACATCAGGGTCATTGTCATCGAGATCGACAAGGTCATTTATCGGTCATGAGCAAAGTGAACAGTCTGGCCTACAATGAAAATCTTACTCTATATGTCCTTCTGCTAAACACAAATTAACACAAATCACAGATCAGAAGTACAGATTTAAAGTGCAAGTATATATTATACACAATAAATGCAATTACACAAAAGATGGTCAATGCTTAACTGACATTGAGAGAAAAGCAATCTAACAGCATAGGACCGCAGTCTTTGATCCTGTCCCCAATGGATGAGACAGACGGTGCGTTCCCATGGAGACGTGTTACTCATAGGATACCGCGGTCAAAAGGGGACTCTAGAACGTCACATCACTAAGCGTTTTTGGGCTCAGAGGAAACCAAGGAGGAACCCTGGAGATCTGAGCCACAGTTGGACACGACGAGTTCCCAGTGTGACCAAGCCTCTCAGATTGGCTCTGACCCCCCCCCCCCGAAACACTGGGGGCAGGGCTCCGCAGGAGCTCCCCCTCTTCCACCGTTGAGGCCATCTTGGCGCCTGCCGTTCCGCCATGGCTCCCCCTACATACCGGACATACTGCAAAACCACGAGTGGCTACGGCCTCCCCCACTGTCAGCAGCAGCCAGGCCAAGGACGGGGGCGGGAGGGGGGGGGGGGGGGTAGAGGGCCCTAAAACTGCTCATTTACAAGAATGATTGTAGGCTGTGAGCCCATTTTCACCCTCAAACGCAATCCTCTACAAACCAAACATCCATCTATCCATCCATCTGGATCATCTGTATAATGCAGATGATGGGCGGGGCAGGGGGGTGATTTAAAGCAGACCCCTCACTAGCTTTGCACGTGGATCGGCCGTGGCACACCTTGACCGCTGCTGCGTTGTTCTGCGAGCCTCTGACCACCCCGGTGGCTCCGTAGAGCCTAGAACGCTGCTTGAAAGACACGGAGATGCTGTAGGTCTGCGAGATGTGTTGGATGGCCGGAGAGCTGGGGTCTGGGTTCAGCTGAACCAACATGGGGAGCTCGAACATCAGCACCAGCGGAAGCAGCTCCTGAGAAAGAGGAAACCTCACAGAAATCAGCCTCACAGAAATCAGCCCCCAACGCCCCTTAATCCTGACACACGCCTTAAATCATACCGTGAATCATCTCATCGGGAACCTGCAGTGGCGAGATCTGTCAACAATCAATATTAACATCAACCATTTTATGTGGCAATGAACGTCGCTGCAGGTTTTCTAAGGCTCAGTGGTAAGCATGACTCTTGCGTAACATTTAAAACAGCTGTGAATTATAAATGACCTCCAACCAGTAATTTGTTGGTTTGTTGGCGGGCAGGTGAGTAGCTAAATCTGTCAAAGGTGTAAATCTGTCTGTAGCTAGAGATGGTCATTAAATGCAGGTTTGGTCCCAGAAGCCATAAGTTCGCCCTGCAGCTTTTTTTGGGTTTATTGTTACTGGACCTGGACAGTTGAGGAAGAGCCTGGCAGCTTCCAGTAACCATACCAGAGGCGTCCCTCACCCTACGTGGCTGCACAACCGTGAAACACGCCCATATGTGCGTGCTGCGGCCTGGGACAAATGCCATGCACGGTTTCCGCGAGGAGTGGCATGGCTTTAGCCCTCGCTAACGCCACGTCAGTCATTGCATTAAAAATGTTTTTTTTTTAAAAATGCCCGTTAATCAAAAAGCTGACCACGCGAAAGATTTCAGGCACAGCGTCCCCTCTCCTGCTGAACGGGGACCTCTTAGTTACCTCACTGCCAAGAAATGGTAAACAACATGAATTACTGTAACCAAAAATGAAACCATGATCAGTCCCACATGTTCCAGAACCTACATTTATGTTCACATTCGTGGGGAGATAATAATTTGAGCATATTTTTAGGTGGTGCACTACAAACATAGTATCTGAGTTTTTCCCCGCAGTCGCCAAAAACCAACTTTAATTCTTTGCGTACAAATTGACGTGCAGTTTCGTTTTACGGGGATTGGAAAGGTTTTCCCCTGACTTTCTGTATCACTCTCAAGATGGCTGCGTAAAAGAAATGCCCAAATGAGCAAAGGTAGCGAAAAATCGCAAAGGAATTTAGGCCTTAAACTGATTCTCTTCTGCTTCCCTAGAAATTTAGCTGTGGGACGTCAGCATGTTTGGATTCCTTTTGCAAAGACAGCCTAAACGCTTGTTTCTCATTTTAAACTTGAGCGACTAAGGAAATAAATTGTATAAAGAGTTGATTTTTTTTCTCCCTCTATTTACATACACAACATATTAACTAGACCAGAAGAATATTTCCCGTTGTGACTCAGGTCAAAGGAATTCACCCTCAACAGAATGTGTGGCTAATTTTTAAACCTATAATCTGGGGAAGAATCAAGTGTGACTTGCAGCAATGTGCATCTTAGCTTGGATGCATGGAGAACATGCCAATATGTTTTCACTCAGCATAATGGGAAACTTATACATCATTATAAACACATTTTTTAAATATATGTGAACTAAGGGAAATTCAGAACATTGCAAGATTCTGGACTACAAGTGCAGTAATGTAAGTTTACAAGGCACACATGTTCACACACTACAGGTAATTCAGAGACTACAGGAGAACCCGAAGAAACCTTAATAATCAGAGAAGATGGCAAGATGGAAACACCACAAGAGGGGATGTAGGTGTGAGGCTAGAGTGCTGACTACAGTACTCAAGTGCTGCCCTGTACCCCTAAATATCACTCTGAATGTGCTGTTTCTTTTCTCATTTTGCAACACAGCTGTGGTCAGACCTAGAGGCAGACGTAGAAGTACTGGAAAATAGCGCATTAATCTGGGCAGGTAGAGCATGTGAAAATGAGCGGTGGCTGTGTTTCCATGGTAACCCAGCATTCCCTGATCGCTTGTCAAAGTAACGCATGTGCATTTAACAGGTACATTTAACCTCAATGGAAATGACTCTGTAAGTGATGAATTTCAGGTTTGCATTCTGTGGGACCGTGGCCTACTGTGTTTGTATTGGTGGAACTCACATATTTACATATGTAGCTAGTAACCGTCTGAGACTTTCCTCATACACCCACTAGGTGTCACTGTTCAGAATCCCTAACAAAGGGGAACGAGGTGAGCGCCTTCTTCCAAATAAGGAACCAGCTGAATGGCCGAATGGTCTTTTTTTAAAAAATACCCCATAAAAAAACCCCATGGCTCAGCTTTCTCTCCTGCGTGTGGGGGAAGGTGGTAACCACATGTGTTCGTGAGCGGAGACTAGAGCGGAAATTCACGGATACCCAACGAGAAGCACGGCTTCGAGGTGCCTCCTCGGTGCCTCCTCGGTGCCTCCTCGGTGCCTCCTCGGTGCCTCCTCGGTGCCTCCTCGGTGCCTCCTCGGTGCCTCCTCGGTGCACGCGGTCACTCTCCTCTTTGTAAAAGCTTATTTATCATACATGGCCAATCTCACTGCCGTCAGCGCAAACCGTCGATGAAAAGTTTTTCAGAACCTCTTGCTTTTAAGCCCTGGGAAATGTTCTCTTAGTTACAAGGGCCATTAACTCCCCGGGTCGTACATTTGAAGGCGGACGCACGAAACATGAAGGAACTGAAAATGAGCCTCAGTGTTTTCTGGTTCTTTCTTTGTGTTGGAAATACACTGTGTTTGATTACTGGTCCTGCAGATCCCATAAAGGGGGGGGTCACGTGGGGGGGAAGGAATGTGTCCCAGTGCTCGCTCCCATTAAAGTGAGAATGGAGGCTGTGGGCGGAGCTAGCGTCTGAAGGGGGAGGGGCTTTTGATCCGTACCGTTCTGCGTGTCTTGGAGGGATGGTGAGGCGGTGTGGTTTTCGGGGCTTATTTTACAAATCGCTTCATAAACAACGGTGTAGTAGTCGGGGCTCCCCCTGTACTTTCGGGTAGAAGGGCCGGGCTAATTACGTCTTCGCAGCCTGTGCAAATACGGAGAATTGCGGGGTGCGCTGCGGCTTGTTTTTCTTGGTCCCCTTGGAGAGGAAGCACGTGGCAGGAGTTCTGGTGCCGGTGAAACACTAGGAGCGTCTGGAAGGAGCCGAACGGCGGAAGAGCGGAGGGCGACGCCCACCCGACCTGGGATATCATGACTCTCCGGCTTATATTGTTTTTAAGTGGCTCCTGCGATTGGCGCCATGTGTTCCCCATCAAATGAATACTGTCGGGATCCCGGGCTCCGTCTCAGCCGGAGAACTTCACAAGGTTGACTCGAATGTCAAATACACTTTGCCTTTAAGCTCAGAGGAAGCAGCATTAGACTTAGTTTGATTAGCCGAATTTCAGGTAGATGCTGGGAAAACGTGTGGTCCATGCATGTTCTTTTTTTTTTTGACCATTATCACCAAAATAATGGGGAAAGTCAGAGTAAATCATTACTTATGGGAATCCGGGCCGTTTCCCCATTTTTTGGGTCCCAGGACGCCCCAAACTGGGAGCCCACAGACAACAGCAGGACACTAACAGACCTGACTGATGATAAATGCTAAATGGCAGCACAGCGATGGCAGGGCGCCGCATCAAGGCTTCGGTAACCACGGTGATGCCACACCAGGAGACGCAACTAGGGGAAGTGCTGTACATGTAAAATAAACGGAAATCTCCAGCTCCTGTGCATTAACCCCTGGGAGACAACCTCACCACCCCTGGTTCCCTCTAAGGTCCTCCCCAAATGTGCCTGCTGACCGGCGTGTGACAGCGCCCTGACAAATCTGCTCGCGGGAGGCCTTGTGTGGAGACCGCAGCGGGTTTATTACCCTGATCCTGGCCCTGGCGGCTTCCACACCTCCTGGCTGGCCGGCTATGGACACCTGTGGAGAAGGAATGGGAAATGAACTTCATAAACTCTCTCTCTCTCTCTCTCTCTCACACACACACACACACACACACACACACACACACACACACACACACACAGTACCCTTTATAACCACAGTATTCCTTACCTATTCAACACACACACAGACATACAGTATCCTCTACAACCACAGTATTCTTAACACACACACACACACACACACACACACACACACACACACACACACACTACCCTGTACAGTAAGTATTCCTTACATGCGCAGACACGCACTCTGACCGACAGCGGCATCATTTTTAAATCCGTTCTTCCATTTTCTTTCTATTCCAATTCTTTCTCAACTATGTACATCTGAAACAAATTACTGATTAAACAAAGGCTAGTCAGTGCGCTTCCAACTTCAGCGTTTTTCAATAGTGGATCAGCTGCGACCACATAACAACATGGTCCTTCGATTTATGCGACGCCCTCATCCATTTCCAGCATGTATTGTAATGCGTGGCAGAAGAGAAGCATTTGTGCCGTATTACGACATTTTATCTAGAAGCAAAATGGCATCAGGACCAGAAGCTCTCTAAAAAGGCACGAAGAACAGCCATGCTAGCCGATTGAAGCCCTTCTATGAAAATCAGTCAGTCTTTAGTCCTTACAAACCAGCTCCATTTTCATCTGCCCTTCCAAATGAAACCGTGAAAATTACACACTGGCATCACTGGAAATGGCCCAAGCCAGTTTCTTATCATCAGGTTTAAGTACAAAAAGTTCTACTTTTTTTCCACTTCATTGGTGTATCAGGACTGACTGGTACCAACCATTTCTTTATCTGTTTCATTGTAAGCATTTTGCTTCGTCAGTCAGGGCTGCCGACAGCCTGTTCTCTAGCTCTCCTCCGACCGTAGGGGGTGTAGGACATATAAGTTCCAGACATTCCTTGATATGAACGTTTGCCACTCTGTCAAAGCCTGAAACAGCACATGTGCTGGTCTACATCCCGCTAAGCGGCCTGACGGTAACAGATTCTCCTCCCCCGCTGTCTGTGTTCAGATATCTCAGTGTTTTCTTGGTACTGGGAATGGCAGGCTAACAACAACTACACTTTGAAGTTAAAAGTCCCTGGCACTAACCTTGTATTGCATCATTCACCTGCAAATTTACTTATTCATTTTTTTTTTTTATTTCTAGATACACTCATACCTACTCTGTACTTGTGCTGTTCACTTACACCAGGGGTGCCCAATCTTATCCGCAAAGGGCCGGTGTGTATGCGGGTTTTTGCTGCAACTCCCTAGTTAGATTACTAATTAGAGGACTGACTGGCTGAAGAGTCCTCACACCTGGGTTTGAACAGCTGACCTACAGGTTACACACCGCATACACACCGCATACACACCGCATACACACCGGCCCTTTGCGGATAAGATTGGCCACCCCTGATTTACACTCTGTCCATGCTATGTACTAGTGTTTATTGTTTTTTAATCGAGTACTAACTGTTTGGTGTTCATCGCTCAACTGTTCTTTGTTCCAGCTGTCCTAAACGCAATTGTGAATAATGTTTTACACTGACTGCACATTAATAATAGATTCTTTATGCATTCACAGAACACTAACTGCACCTTCATAATGCATTTATGCATTCATAGAACATAAATAAGCAGCATGTAAGTATACCTCAATATGTCTTACGTTCATAACACCTTCAACAAGACATGACAGCTGCAATATACAATAATAACAAAAATTATAATCATATTATGTTTGTTATTAATGTATATTAAAGCTGATAAGGGATGTTAGGATGTTAAGGCATACATGCTGCTTATGAATGTTCTATGAATGCATTATGAATGCAATATGAAGGTGCAGTTAATGTAAAGCATTACTCAGCTTTGTTTAATGTGTGCAGAGTTTTAGGAACAGCAGGACTGTGGGGGGTCTTGTACCTTCCAATATTTAATAAAAGTTCATTCATCCCCCCCAATAAACAGACCTTGAAATTTAAATTTTATTGTGCTTCCCCCCACCGCCAATTTCAAACTCTCTCTTGCGCTGCTGAATGGATGAAATGACAAAGTGACAATAAACTTGACCTGAATTTAATTTTGTGAAATGTTTATATATACATAGGAATCCAAATTTTTGCAGGTGCATGAGTGCACACACAGAAATACACAGACAAGTAATTCCCTAAAACGAACACTAACTTGATTGCTTTTCTCTGCCTGGTTGTTGCGGTTCGAGTCGGGGAAGTGGATGTGACATCCGGTGTCCTCCATGACTTTCTTGATGTTGCTGCCGCCCTTCCCGATGACGTGAGAGTGCTCAGTGTGCGACACGTCCATCTTCAGGGTCACACGGTTGCTCTATAAGGGGAAAAGACGAGACAGAGACGTCAGCGGGTCACCGTGAAACTCCCATCAGCACATAGGAAATGAAACATGAAATGGAATGATGCTTTATTTGCCATATTTGCCATTTGCACAAGTACATTGGAATGTTTTTCGTATTTACCACCTTGCTCTCCTTTGACACACAAACACACACACACACAGGTTTGTAATTATATCTTTGTGGGGACTCTCCATTAATTTCTATGTGGAAAACTCTAATCCCAACAATGACCATAACCCCTACCCAGCCCTAACCTTAACCATAAGTAACCAAACAAAATACAAGACTTTTGGCATTTTTACTTTTTTGATTGCATCCACAGTTCTTTGTGGGGACTTGAAAAATGGTCCCCACAACATCAAAATTTTATCACATTGTGAGGGACATTTGGTCCCCACAATGTAATATAAACATAATCCACACACACACACACACACAGTGAGAGCAATGCTTGGGGCCCAAGCACAGGGTCAGTTCACTTATCTGGCTCCCCTGGTGCACTTTGGGGGGGAGGGGGGTTAAAGGTCTTGCAGATTCTAACCAAGGACTTACGCAGTAGAACCCAGCTGTCATAAACCATCTGGATCCTTCCTAAGAACCGCGGCACGACTTCGGAAAGGCCATCGACCGCGTTTCTATGACACGTCTCCGAGTTCACACTCCAGATCCAGTCAGCCATCACTTTTCATTTGCGGCACTGCAATTTAACAGCTGTCAAGGGTTTAGGTTTTTGATTTAATTATTTATCTTAGTTAAACGCATGCCGTTTGAAGTATGCTTTTTTGAAGTATATGTTTTCGCAGCTGTAGAATGGTAAATTATTGAGGATTTTTCACTCTGGTGTTTTTATTGTATTGGAATGTTTTGAGGACGAGAGAGAAATACATAAATAAAAACTGTACCATCAAAGTTAAATATAACTATAGACAAACACACAAACTCATGGACCTTTTTTTTGTTGCTTATACACACTTACGTGTTTTTTTCTCTTCTCATACACTGCCCGTCCAAGGCGCCATTTGAATTTTTTGTTGGGCCGCCTTTAGCTTTGATCATAGCACATATTTGTCATGGCATTGTTTCCACAAGCTTAGGCAACATCTCACCCTTTACTTTCATCCAGATTTGCATTCATTTGTCACTGAGATCCTGTATTGACAAGTGAGTTGAACCTCCATAAAGCCTCCTTCATCACATCCCAGAGACCTTCAATGAGGTTAAGGTCACAACTCTCTGGTGACCAAGTCACGCATGAAAATGATTCCTCATGCTCCCTGAACCACTCTTTGACAATTTGAACCCATTGAATCTTGGCATTCTTGTCCTGGAATATACCCATGCCAACAGGGAAGAAAAAATCCATTGATGATGGATGGAGGTGTAACCTGGCCATTCAGTAGATTCAGGTACTCAGCTGACTTTACTTTATTGCTGCATAACGTTGCAGGACTGTACTAATGATCTAGTCATTGGCTTTTAAGTATTTGCTGATATAAATTCAAATGGTGACCTTTTTTTTGGACGGGCAATGTACTTTGAAATTTACAAGAGCATTGGCTCATAGTCAGTTTCCCGTTCTCTTCACAGACTGGACGATTAAACAAATAAAGCAGCGCAACATTACAGTAACTAACAATAAATGAACCACTAACTTACGTGTCCTATTAGAGCATTTATGTAATTTATTTAAACTGTATTTTACCAGGTAAATTAACTGAAAACAAGTTCTCACTGCTTTACGTGATATTCGGGAGAAATCCAGTTTGCCAAGTTGCCTGTAGGTGTGAATGGTTTGTTCAGCCGGCTGAGGGGTGCTGTACAATCTGTCTTAAGTCGTCTTGCTCCTTCAAGGTTTTTGTACCATGTGAAATTGTGACGCGTCACGACATTTTGCAGCACCGGACAAAAAAAAAAAATCTAACCATATCATGAAAAACGAAGTTTAAAATTTTCTACATTAAGTGCAGGTAGACTATCAGTTAATGGGTATGATTTAGTGTTGTTTTGTGCTATGGTATAGGCTAAAACCTGCGGCTAACATTAAAAACAAAATGCGGTAAATGTAAGACAAACTTTAATTTGTGTACGCCAATGAATATTAACAGGAATGTTAAATCTGCATTTGCATAATTTCAAACTTATGCTGGACTTTTATTTTTAATTGATTGCTCTTTTTTCTCCCACAGTGGTGAAATTGCACCATTTGTATTTTGTAATTGCATTTGTTTCGCTCAATTAGAAAAGGGAGTTGTATTTCAAATAAAGTTTGAATCTGAACCTGTGTAGTTTGAATGGGGGGGCTCAATAATGTTCCTATCTAGGAAAGGGGGGCCCTGCAGAGAAAGTTTGGGAACCACTGGATTAGTGGATGAAGCTCAGAAGGCTCAAACTGATGTACATCCCTCACACGGCCCACGTGTGTCCCACCCTCAGCCTTGTAAACCGGTTCCCACCTGCTGGAGACGGTGGATGGGATCCAGCCTCGTAACACAGGGGGTTTAGTCCACTAATTAATCTTGGCGCATTTTAAGATCTGTTTTTCCATTCCTGTGGGCAGCCATCTGATAGGTCAGCGGGTCCATTTCCCCGGCGCTTTAGACAGCACCGCACTGGAGGCGGCTCTACAGTGTGCAGTAGCGACTTTAGA